CGGATGGGCTGGATCTGCTCCTTGAACTCGCGGCCGTCGGTGGCGTCGCCATCCTGGCTTCCGTTGCCCATCGCAAGTAGCGCGAGCTAGCTGTTTAGGTGACAGGCTCCCGGAGCGCGGCTGAAGCTTGCCGAAGTCGTCGTCACGAACGCAAGAGTGGCCGCTCGCCGCAGACACCAGATCGAAGTGGATGGTGCCGGGGGCCCATGTGATCTCGTGGCTGCCGGGTCCAGGGCAGGCGAAGAGTCTGTGGTCAGCCCCCATCTGCGCCGCCCATTGTTCGACTGCGTGGGCTACAGATCTGACGAGGGAGGGGGGTCAGCACCTGCGCCCTCCACGGCCAGGGCTCGCGCGCCATGCTACATTGTCGCGCCAATGCGGGAAGTCGTCGCAATAGGGCAGTGGACATCGTCGCGCGCTACCTGTGACTCGTTGCCAACTCCTGCGACGTCGAACTTGGTCGACAAATTCTCCTCGGAGGGCTGGAGCTTGCCTGCTGGGAGCTGCCGGCCAAATTCACGGCAAAGCGCAGCGCCCCGCGCCTCGTCCAGGCACCGGCAGCGACTGCGAAGCCGAGACGGCCACCTGGTCGATCGGTGCTCGCCAGGTAGCACGGCGACTCGACCGATGAACGAGCTCGTGCCCGGCGAGGTCGAGGACCACGGGGGCGTCGGCTTGCGCGGCGGCCGCCGTGCATGCTGCGGGCACGAAGTTGCGAGCGCTGCCCAGCGACTGCGCGGGACATGCTGATGACGTCAGCCTGGCCGCCGACGGTGTCAGCCAGGCCGCGGCGCGCCGGGCCGCGCGCCCAGCGGGTGTCTGTGTTCTGCGCCAGCGCTGCAGATGCCGCGCCTGGCGCAAGATGCGGCGGCACTGGAGACGCACTACCTCTCGCCATGCAAGATCGCCTCGAGGCATAGGGGGGGGGGCCCACCATCGCTGGCGAAAGCTGCAACAGCGGGCGGCTCGGCAAGCGGCGCGGCCGGCGCGATGGGGTGATCAACAGGGTCTCTGTCCAACTCAGCGCTGCTGGCCGCCCCTGCTCGCCCTGGCGCCGCAAGAGTGCAAGCGCCAGCGGCGCGCCGTGGAGCTCGTCGAGGCACCGTCGCTGCGAGGTCGAGGGATGCGCCCGCAATTGAGATCGGATCGGCCGCCGATGGCCACCGAAGTCCCGCGGCCGGGAATCCGCGCGACCGCTCTCCCAGACGGTTGGCCCACATCGGCGGGGCTGTTCTGGTTGAACAGAGCCAGCTCCTCGGGCGACGGCGCTGGCGGCGACGCAACTGCCGGCGCGGGCTGCGGTCGCAGCGTGGAGATCGATCCACGTGGGGCGCTGATACTGAGAGTGGATGCTGAAGGAATGCATGCCCAGCTCGGCAACTGCGCGTCGGCGGGGGGGCCCAGAGGCGCGGCGACCCGCGCGTTGAGGTCGCCGCCCTAGTCGCGCCCCCGGGCATGCCCTAGAGGAAACGCGCCGCCCGCTCGTGTCCACCGTCGCGGCGCTGGTTGTCGCGGTGCTGTTGGACATGATGGGGCTGCCGGCGCGGCTGCCGCTCCTGGGGCTGCTCTGGCCAGCGCTGCTGTCCATGCTGCCGCCGCGCGGGCCAGCGACGCAGTCGCGGCGCCCTCAGGCCGCGCAGAGTCTTGCGCGCGGCTCGTGGACCCCCCGTCGCAGTCGTCGAGGTTCTGCGTCGCGGGGGCGGGGGGGAGACAAAGGGGGGGACGATGCCGGACCGTCATGACCAATCGCAGCGGCCCGCTCGTTGCCATGGCCCGTTTGGCGACGCGCTTGCAGCGGCTGCTGCCGCGGCTAACCGCAGCGCCGCCTGCGCGGCTGCTGCCGCGGTCGGCTGTCTGCCGTTCCAGGGGCCAGCGCTCCTCGCGGGATCCCCCCCCCCGGAACGCGGGGCCGCGGGCTGCTGTTCCGGCGGCGACCCTGGTCACCCATGCTGCGCGCGCCACTGGCAGGGGCAGGTGCGCGGATGGACCTGGCGGCGTCTGCTGTCTCATAGGCGCAAGCGGTGAAAATTATGGCGCCAATGGCGGCGCTGGAGCGGAGGCGTCCAGGACCAGGATGTGAGCGCGCCCGACGCAGCGGTGCCATGGGCAGTCGCGCACGGGGTGCCCCTCTGAGGCGCGCTCGCGGCATTTGAGACGCGCCCCGTCGGGGCCCGTGAAATTACCTTGGCGGCCAGACTCCGCGTGGCCGGCCCTGGAAACTCTCGTCGCCCTTGCCTTCGCCGCGCCCGCTGTCCGCGAAAACCGCTGGATATCGCTTCCAAACGCGTTGGCCTGGGCGACGCGGCGGCCTCGACGCTCGCCCATGCCGCTTCGCGCGATAACTCTCCGGGAGCGGCGCGCGGGCCTGGAGTTGCCGCAGCTGCGCCAGTGTGCTTTGGCGCGCCCGCAAGCGCACAAGAGATGCGCACCGCGTTGCCCCCCAAGACTGCAGCGGCGCTCGGGGTCGTCCGCGGCAGTATCTTTGCCGAAAGAGCTGACGCTTTGACAGTCGCCTCCAGCTGGAAGCGCCCCCCTCGCGCAAGTGACGCCGCGCTGTTGTCGCAGGCGGATGCAGAAGCAGGCAGGCTCGGCGCCGCCCCGAGAGCAGCTGGGCCTGTGCCGCCCCGGCTCGATCCTGCCACAGCGCCACTGGCACCCTGAACCTGATCTCGCGCGGCGCAACTGTTGGGCAGCGCGAACCCCGAGGCGAAGTAACATGGCGATCCCGCGATCACGTGCCCGATGCGCCTGCAGCTGGCCCCGCGAACTCGCGAGCTGCGCGGCGCTCGCAGGGCGGGCCATCTCATGGCGCTGCGAGACCGTGGCCAGATGGACGCTCGACACGCGGCGCGCAGCAAGGCAGCTGAGGCCCTGGCTGGCGATCGTGGGTTGACCAGCTTGCTGCGTCCGTTGCGAAGGATGTCGAACCTAAGAATGTGTCGATGCGCTCTTGCGGCGCTGCCGAAACGCGCTCCGCTTCGCCTACGTAGTTGGCCCCACCCTTCGGCCAAACTGTGCACGGGGAAGGTCGTCGGAGGCGCTGGGCTGCCGTTGATGAGCCCTGCCTGGATCAGGACGCCCGCCGGCCATTCGTCTGCTTGTTGGCGCGCCTTGCCGGCGAGGCACGACAAGACGTTGGTCGCATGGCAGATCAGCACCTCGCGCGCCCACGTGTGGACGGGATTGCAGGGCCCCCAGTTGTGGAAGTGTCGCAGGTTGCCACCGCCGCCGTCTGCTTCCACGCAGGCGATGCAGCTGGCGATGACAATCATGCCCACTCCGATGGCCTCCCACCCCGGAGCGCATCAGTCTCCATGCGTCGTGAAGGTGCTGGAGGCTGGGAATCCGCCAGCGCTGCTGCTCGGGCAAGGTATTTCGGAACCGCCGTGGGTACTTGCCCCTGATGTGTCCATCCTCGTTTACGCATTAGGCGACTGCCTCTGTCGCGCGGTCGTCGTGCTCTCGATGCTCGGGGCATTCCGTGACACATTCGGGGGAATGTTCCTCGCTCGTCGTGTTGTCTCTGTATTGACCACCGCCACTTGCACGACCGTCAAGAGGAATGTGCATCGGGGGCCAGTCCTGCCAGGCTGCTGAGAACGCGAGTGAAGAGTGACAGGTCATGCACCAAGAGATCGAGAACGGCCTTGGATGTAGGACAGCTCGCGCGTTAAGTGTTGCCTGCGCTGATCTCTGGTTTTCCCAGATCTACTCCGCTGTCTCTCGGAATGCTAGTTGCGCAATCGCCATGACCCTCCGCTGCCTTTCCGCTTGGTTTCGCCCTTTCCTACCAAGGCTCTCGCGACGCAGTCACTGGAGATCTCGGGCCAAGTCGAGCAGTTGTCCGACATTTGCTGTTATTGCCACAAGCGGGCGCGTTGAAGGCGTAGGGTCCGAAAGCGGCACTGACGCAGTCGGCGCAAGCCCGGGAGGGGTCGTCTTCATCGACGGCGCGGCCCGGGTCCTTGTAGGTCTTGTTGGTGTCCTGGTCGTTGTTTTCGCTGCGTGCCCCCCCCGTCACCACCCCTGGCGGATGGGATGCTGCCCCGACGGACCCTGGAGTGACTTCTCTTGCCGTGGTGAACGGGAAAAAGTGCACGAAGCAGAGACGAAGACCGGAGGAACACCAGCGAGGCCTCGAAACGCTGCAGGACATGGCGAAGCCGTGGCAACGGATCGTGCTGTTCCGATACCACCTGGAGACATGGACGCAGACATGGGTGCGAAAGATCGGGTCTTCCTGAAGGCGGAATGGGTGTGGTCAAGGCGTGGATCGGCCCGGCACGGGGGCAGCACAGACTATAAACGGCTGCGGAAACAAGCAAGGATGGGGTGAGACAGCCAGGGCAAATACCCATCGAATGGGAGAAAGGCGCGGGAACGGATGGGGGGGAGAAGGAAGAAATCGACGGGGAGGGATGAAAAGGAGGAGGTGGACGGGTGCGATGAGCGGGGAGAAAGGAGGGCTGATGGCGGCGGCGGCAGCGGCAACAAGCTCTTCGCGGGAAAGGGGGGTCCTTCTGCAGCGTCGGAAAACCATGAGGAAGAGGGTAAGGGCTGAGGATGAACAAGAGGGAAGGAAGGATGAGAGAGAAGGAGGGGGCACGGAGGAGGCGCGTAACCACGATGCCATTGTATTAGATCCCCCTGCTGGTTGAGCAGCTGAGCTGGCCCTAGGAGGCACGAGATTGGACCTGATGGCTTGGCGATGTGCCCAAGCCCCTCACATTAAGAAGGTCTTCGAGAATGGAAGAGTGAAACAATGAGGAAGAGAGGGGGGAGAAACGGAGAACGAAGAAGGACAGGGAGAGGAGCACAATAATGGAGGGGACGAGAAGGTAGCTGGATGAAGGGAGGGGGAAAACGGAGGAGGAAGAGAAGAGGAGGATCAGGGGTCAAGGGGGGCAAGGACGAAGAGAACATTAGGGTGAATGAGGATGAGGGGGGGATGATGAGGGATCATGGATGAAAGAGGGGGGGTTCGGGGGAAGGGGTGGGGCCTTCTTTGCGCCGAACAGCGCGTTGATGACGGAGCTCTTGCCGACATTTGGGTAGCCCACGAAGCCTATCACCCCGCCTGGCGCAATGGATGCCAGCAGAACGTGGCGCATTCAGCTCATGCTCGGTCCACTGCGTCTGCTGGCCTTCCTCGCCCTCTCCTCCTCCTCCTCCTCCTCCTCCTCCTCCTCCTCCTCCTCATCCTCCTCCTCCTCTCCCTCCCCCCTTCCGTCCTCCTCCTCCTGCTCCTCCTTCCAACTCCTCCTCCTCCTCCTCCTGCTCCTCCTTTTCCTTCTCGTCCTTCTCCGCCTCATCCTCCTCCTCCTGGTCCTCCTCCTCCTCCTCCTCCTCCTCCTCCTCCGTTTCTGTCCTCTGGCGCCAAAAGCGATCTTGCGGATCGCCACGGGCAACAGCAGGAACTAAAAACGAGGCGACCGTGTCGGGGGTAGGGGGGGGGAGGAGGAGGAGGAGGAGGAGGAGGAGGAGGAGGAGGAGGAGGAGGAGGACGGGGAGGAGGAGGAGGAGGAAAACGGAGGAGGAGGAGGAAACAGGAGGGAAATGGAGGAAGAGGAGGAGGAGGAGGAGGAGGAGGGAAGGAGGAAAGGAGGAGGAGGAGGAGTCCACCTCCTCGTCCTACTCCTCATCCTCCCCGTCCTCCACCTCTTCCTCCTCCTCCTCCTCCTCCTCCTCCTCCTCCTCCTCCTCCCCTCCTCCTCCTCGTCCTTCTCCTCCTCCTCCTCTCTCCTCCTTCCTCTCTCTTCTCTCCTCCTCCTATCTCCTCTTCCTCCTCCTCCTCCTCCCTCCCTCCTCCTCCTCACTTCCCCTCTCCTCCTCCTCCTCCCCCTCCTCCTCCTCCTCCTCCTCCTCCTCCTCCTCCTCCCCTCTCCCTCCTCCCTCCTCCTCTTACTCCTCCCCTCCTCCTCCTCTCCTCCTCCTCCTCCTCCTCCTCTCCTCCTCCTCCTCCTCCTCCTCCCTCCTCGTCCTCCTCCTCCTCCTCCCTCCTCGTTCCTCCCTCCGCCTCCGCCCTCCTCTCTCCGCCTCCTTCAGGAGCAGGGGGAAGAGAAATATCGGGATCGGACTCGTGGAGCTTTGGCGTCTGCTGGAAACTGTCCCGAGTGAGAGCTCAAGCCGCGCCGTGCGAGGACTCCGAGTGGCGAAACTCGGTCGACCGCTCTCGGACGGGGCCACACCGCCCATGCAATGCCCCCCCCCCTTCGGGCACGCGGCCCAGGGTGCGCCCCCGGCAGAGTAACAGGACGGCGACGGATACCAATAGAGGCCAGTACGTATCCGCTCACTGCTTGCTGAGGGGGGGGGGAAGAGGAGGCTGCGGAGGGAGATGGGAGAACAGGCGGACCACCAGGCTGACATGAGCCTCGTTGAGCCGATCCCCATCCCACCGGCACGCCCTGGGTCCCTCTAGCCGACCCCCACTCGCTGGATGGGGATATAGGCTGTTCCCGTCGGGTTTCGAGGGACATATCCCCAACGGGGATGGTGGGGCGGTGGGAGTCGGGAGGGGGATGTGGATGGGATATGGATCGGCGGAACAACACGTTTTCCCATTCCTCCTGTGGTGGGTTTTGGATGGAGCACTGTGGTCGAGTCCCCCTCTCACCACCCACAAAACCACCCCAAGCCAGCCCGAAGGCCCCGATTTGCACGTTGTTTCCAGTGGGGGGGGGGTCGGGTAACATTGGAAAAACACATATGAAGCCCGTACCCCCCCAGCCCGAAATTCGGGTCTTCGGGTTGGGTTGGGGTGGTCTGGTAGGTCGTCACCCTCTTCCCCCCCCCCTCCCCCCCCCCGCACTCCCCTCTCCTGCCTCCCCCCGTCACCCGTCTCTGTTCTGTCCTCTGCCTCTCTCGTGAGTCCTGGGACGACCCGCGGTATGGAGTTACACGGGGATCCAGTTGGGACCTCGGGGCTCCCTGGAGGGCTGCGGAGTGAGCAACCGTCGCCACTTTCGTGGGCTCCTGGGAGGCCCCGCGGAATGGAAGTACACGTGAAAACAGTGAGGACCTCGCGCTTCCCTGGGGGGCGAAATATGAAACTGTCGCCACTGTCGTGGGCTCCCTGCGGGGCTGCGAACAGCGCAACTGTCGCCAGTTTCGCGGTCTCCAAAGAAATCCCGCGGAAAAGAGATACACAGGGATCCAAGCGGGAATTCGCGGCTCCCTCGGGGGCTGCGAACTGCGAAACTGTCGCTGATTTCGTGAACCTGGGAGGACCCGCAGAGTGGAGCTACACGGGGATCCAGTTAGGACCTCGCGGCTCCCTGGAGGGAAGCGAAGTGAGCAACTGTCGCCATTTTCGTGGCTTCCTGGGAGGTCCCGCGGACTGGAGTTACACTGAGATCAAGTTGGAACCTTTCGGCTCCCTGGGGGGCTGCGAAATGTGCAACGGGCGCCACTGTCGTGGATCTTTGGCAGGCCCCGCGGAGTGGAGTAACACCGGGACCTTTTTGGGACCACGCGGTTCCCTTGGGGGCTGCGAAGTGCGCAACTGTCCCCACTTTCGTGGGCTTCTGGGAGGTCAAGCGAAGTGGAGTTACACGGGGATTCCAGTTGGGACATCGCGGCTCCCTGGAGGGCTGCGAACTGCGCAGCGGTCGCTGCTTTCGTGGACTCCTGGGAAGTACCGCCGAGTGGTGTTACATGGGGGTCCAGTTGGAACCTCTCGGCTAGGCAAGCGAATTACGAAACTGTCGCTTCTTTCGTGAGTTGCTAGGAGCTCCCGCGGACTGGACTTACATGGGACCTCGCGGACCCCTGGGGGGCTGCGAAATTCGAAACTGTCGCCACTGTCGTGGGCTCCTGGGAGGTCCCGCGGATTGGAGTTACACGGGGATCCAGTCAGGACCTCGCGGCTCCCTGGGGGGCTGCGGGCAGCGCAACTGTCGCCACGTTCGTGGGCTCCTGGGAAGTCCATCGGAGTGGAATTACACAGGGATCCAATTGGGACCTCGCGGCTCCCTGGAGGGGTGCGGGCAGCGCAACTGTCGCAACGTTCGTAGGCTTTTGGGATGTCCCGCGGGGTGGAATTACACGGAGATCCAATTGGGACCTCGCGGCTCCCTGGAAGGAAACAACATGCGCAACTGTCGCCACTTCCGTGGGTTCCTGCGGGGTCCCGCAGGGACGAATGATGGTGTTGGTAATGGTGATGGTGATGGTGATGGTGATGGTGATGGTGATGGTGATGATGATGATGATGATGCTGATGATGATGCTGATACTGGTAATGATGATGATGATGATGATGATGATGATGATGATGATGATGATGATGAAGATGATGATAATGCTGTTGCTGCTTATGATGATGATGATGCTGATGATGCTGCTGCTGCTGATGATGATGATGATGCTGATGCTGATGCTGATGCTGATGCTGATGATGATGATGATGATGATGATGATGATGATGATGATGAATGTGGCAGGGGGGGGGGTCGATCTTGAAACCAAATGGATGGGAGGGATTTCCGAACTCTCTTGGAGGTCATGCTCAAGCCTCAGAAACGTGTTGGAGGCCGAAGTGCGCCCTGTGTGTTTTGAAATGGTTTTGGCATGCCTCTTGGGGCGATTGGGGGACTATTGGACGCCCCTTGGGGCGATCTTGAATGCGAGCGGGCGCTTCCAGATCCGTCGGGGGGCCTGCTCGGACATCCCTGGAGCACTCCTGGGGTGTCTGGGGGCCGTCTTGGGCCGTCTCGAGGCCCTCCTGGGGCTCTTGGCGGGGGGGGTCCCGGGCAGGCGGCACCGGGGACGTGACAAAGATGTCATCGAGATGGGTGGCGCCCGGGGGGGGGGCGGAGGGAAGCCTCCGGGCAGCCGGGAGTCCCGAGCACCAGCGGGAGACATTCCGAGTGGGGGCGCCGTTGTCTGGAGGGCGGTCGCCCGCGGCGCCGAGGCGGGGGCGCCGGGCCGGGGCGGCCAGGTCGAGCAGGTAGGCTGCTGCTGCATGGATCGTGGGGGAGCGTCGGGCGATACAGTCGGGGCGTTGGCCTAAGGAACCCTAAGTAAGGAACGAGGCCCCTTTTTTCCATGAGTTAACCTTCGATTTCCGGTCGAAAACGCAAGGAACGCCTGAGGCAAGCTGTGAAACACTCAAGGAACGCGGAGCTCCTCCCCAACCAACAGGGTTCCTTCTTCAGGGCCCCGACTGCACCGCGATTCCCAAAGAAATCGCGAGAAAGGCCAATGGGGAGAGCGTAGCGCATGCGTGTTGAAGACGCGGCGCTCAAACAAGTTGCCAGGGCGTCCCACGCGAAAACGCAATGCCTGCGTACATTGTGACAAAGTCCCGCGCAAGAGCGCGATTCTGAAATCAATTGTGAGAAAATATAAAGCAGGAGCGGGAGCCGTTGCTTTAATCCGAAGGCCCACAACCCAGCTTGAGCAAAAAACTATTCCCTGCTGAAAGAAAGGGTGCGAGCCCCGACGAGAAACACTTCGCTTGAAACAAACATTGAATTGGCGGGGGGATCAACAACGAGTCGTCAAAAGAAAGCTCAACGAAACATTATAAGACTGGTGTTGCTCTGTCTGCCCGCGTGCCATTCAAACCATCGATACCCTACAGCCCTCTTCGTTTTCGATCGTACCCCTTGGGGGTATATCTTCCTCCCCTGCCACATGTATTTGGTGCACCCCCTGGAGCAGGGATATAATGAACGGATCGAACGTACTGCGCGAATCACGGGGATGTCTCGAACGATAGCGCGATGCCCAGGTAAATCGTGAGGAAGACAAGGAGAAAACGTGATTCTTGAGTGTCGAGGGCGCGGCGTTTTAGTGTCGAAAGCGCGGCGTCAGGGGGGACAATCGTAGTAGTAGTAGTAGTAGTAGTAGTAGTAATAATAGTAGTAGTAGTAATAATAGTAGTAGTAGTAGTAGCGCCCTGCGACCCTGGCGAGAATAGAGGCTGCGCTCGGGGGCCACCCCCACGGGCCCCATGCCTGGGTCGCGAAGGAGCTGCACCGGACACGCCCTGCAGCTGTGATGCCACAGGATGGCGCAAGATGGTCAAAGCTGGCTCAAGATGGCCTCCAAGATGCCCCCGAGCGGCCTCACGATGGCCCGCCCCGCGCCACCGTGCGCACGCGCGCGCAGTCGCGCGCGCACGTACAGTGCCCCAGTA